CTCTGTCATGTTGCATTTATCAATCGTCTAGGAACTCTATAAAAATTGTACGCAATTATGAACGGATCAACTATCGTCCTATACACAAAGAAATGTTTCATCTCTCATTTTCAATCAAATTGGCCAAATGCTACGACGTTTCCAAAACGTTAAAATCACTTGTCCGTCATCCTGCACGAGATCTCTATCAATTATCTTCGAGAATTGCGTATATATGTTTGCGAGTTTCTCGACCGATTCTCACGAGATATCTTAAAAATTCTTATTATACACAGGAAGATGATCCTTATCCATCATCTTGCCGAGAACGAATACAGAGATTGGACACGTTGTCGCGATGATTCTCGACACATCAGCCGGGAACAACGACGCGTAACGCATCGTCGTTTCGCTATCATTGAGCGCAATTGACATCTGTTGGCCGGCGTAGTACCGGTTGGCAACCGGCTCTCGTCGATGGCTGGCTGGCTGGCTGGTTGGCTGGCAGTGCCGTGCCGTGCGCGACCACCCGTGTTAGCGCCTCTTCTCTTTCGTGTGTTTGATCGATCTGACCGATACGATTCCACCACGCGTTTATCCTTGGAAAGCTCGCTGAAAACAACCACGTCTTTGCACCCCCTTAAATTACGTCCTTATTATCTTTAATGCTTGTCGCGTGACAATGCCTCGAGAAGAAATTCGTTTTCCATCTTCGGATACGCGAAGCCGATGGATCATCGACACGTAAATTTGTAAAGTTGGAATATTATTCTTTCTTTTCGCTCAAGAGAGATCAATCTCTCTCGATGACCACTCGATCGATCAATTGCCGGTGAAGATGATTGAAAGTTGGATATTATCGATAAGCATTTTAATCAACTAGTGAACGAGGCGCTCTCATCCTCGATTACACTGAAAACTCGTCGAGACGTTAGCCCATAGTTTATTTTACGGATCTCTGTTTATTTGTTTCCTTTATTTTCTTTTTTTTTTACAATTTCTACAAGCAGCAGGTTTTCCAAAACTTCTTCAAAGAACACTTGTTCGAGGCAAACTCGTTAATCCGGTGAAAACAGGTGAAACGTGTTTCATTTCGAGCTCGGAGACGCAAAACTGAAGGGATCGGCGCGTCGCTCGCCGGATTTTTCCCCGAATATTTTTGTCCGTCTATTTTGTCGGCAGCCGAGGGGTGGCTCGCCCTCCTCTCTCTCTTTCCACCCCTCTCGATGGTAGTCGTCGATGTTAGAGGGGTCTAGAGAGGTTGAGGGAGCACGAGGATGGCGAGGGGGAGGGATGGTAGTGGATTTGGGGGTTGGACCCGTGTCGAGGTGGGGCAAAGGTGATCCCCCGCGGATCAATACCGCCGCCGGTCGGCCGCCTCCAGTCTGCCTCACCGACCGATGCTCTCGTCGTATTCCCTCTTAAAAATCGAATGCCATTCGGTGCACTCGTTCTGGAAAAAAAAAAAAGAATAAAAAAAAGAAAAATCATTCCCTACGAATCATTCACGCGACTCTCTCTCTCTGTCTCTCGCACGCGCGCGCCAAGATTCGAATGAAATCGAAATTCGCCTGTACGGAAAATTCGATTTTCCATACGGTTTGACGATTTTTACGGGGTACGAGTTGTTTGCTTTTTAACTCGGATTTAACGAAATTCCACGAGCAATGATTTACGGGTAAATTCGTTTAATCGAATTCTTATCGAACCGCGCTGCACACGTGTCGAAATCGAATCGAAATCGATAATACACGAGATATATTACGAATATATGTATATCTGTGCATGCGCCAATTTTGAAGAAATTTCGAGCGGACCAAAATTTTAAATTACGCGCGAAAATTCGGAAAAAAGAGAGAGAGAGAAAAAAAATCAGAATTCTCGTCTTCATAATTATCGATGATTTTATCCGCTTCCGCGGATACGCGAGCAATTAGTTTTCACGAGGCTTGGTAAAAGTAGCCCAGCTCGCTTCGAGCGAGCGTGACGAAGCGTACGCTTTAAACCGGCCGATGGACGATGATGACGCAACGTTGCTTACTACACGCTGCCCGATTACTCGCTTACTTTCTCCGGACACCCGTAATATCGTTCGGAATTAACCGGAATGGGCGACGAAGGGGAACGGCGTTCGAACGTTTCGGGCCCCTGAATCGTTCACCGGCCACGAGACGCGTTCGTTTCGTTCTCGTCTTCGTTGACAGAGAGAGAGAGAGAGAGAGAGAGAGAGAGAGAGAGAGAGAGAGAGAGAGAGGATTCTGTGATTCTGTCTATCGTTCCGTCGAGAACTTTAGTCCGACTTTAGTAAGATGATTAATAGGTTAAACGTTTCGTAATCGAAGAAAAATATACGCGCTCACGTTACTTTATTTATTTTTGCAACTTGACTTTCGAGCTCTCTGCGCGTTATGCGGAAGTGCATAACCGCGGAGGCGACTGTTAGTGGGATTTTATTGCTGGCGTTTTTCGTTCGATGAAGATTCGAGAAGAATTTTGAATATCTTGCTCGGGCAATTTTTTTTTAATAAAATTTCACGATTTTTCTATAGGATTATATTGGAAGTTAGAAAACGAGAATTTTTCGTTCACGAAACGAGATCGAAAGTGTAATTTCTTCTTCTTTTATTAATAGAAGTTTTAATACAAAAGACACAAAAAGCACAATTGATTTAACAGAGAAATTCGTTAATTTGAAAAACTATCAAGATCGTTCAATATGTAATTCGTAGTAATAAATCGATATCTTGGAGCGGATTTTCCGCGTAGATTTTTCCATCGGAATAATCTCTGGAACGGGAACAATGGAATCAATCGGATCCAGGATATGAATGTTCGGTGTGGCTGGGCCGGAAGCGTGCCTCGGATACGAGGCGAGTCGCGTGTACCTTTGTTACGTCGCACGAAGCCCGACACGAAAGGAAGAGAGACGGAGGAAAAATTGGAACGACCTCGACGTAACCGTGTTTTGTCTTCCCCTAGTTGCCTGAATCGAGCCCCCGTATACAAGCTCCGTCGCTTGTTTCTCACGTCTGATCGCTTTTCCGGTGAAGCATGCAACTGGTGAACTGTCGAAAGAAAAGGCACGACGCCAGCTATCGTTGCGCTGAAATACACGACGACTGGTCGATCAGGTTCGAACTCGAGAATGCCCGATGTCGTCGATTCGAGGTCGAATCGAAGTGAGCTTGTACACGCCCCTTCTCTATCCAAATCGTTCTACTCGAATCGTTGAACTCGATGAATCGATAAGCTAACCTTCAATCTCCAATCAGAAATTCCGTCCAAACACCGGACAATCTCTCCGTTCAAATCGTCGACGACGAGCGAAACCCCTCGAAACGAATCAAAACGCTCGATTATAACGTTCAACGCGTCATAAGGAACTTCCTATCTCGTGCAAACGCGTCATGGACTCCGTTCCAAGAAGCGTTTTGCACAAGAGTTTTCAAGTATCCAGCTTTCCATTTGCGCACGGGTGTGTTGCTATCGGTATATTATTTTCACTTTCACGTTTCTTTTTCCTTCTTTTTTTTTTTTCCATCGCGTTTTTCCTCGTTTCCAATGATTATCGTTCGTATCTGGAAAAAATCCAGATACCCGTCTGCGGAAAATCGCTTCGAATCCGAACCGAAAAAAACCGACTTTTAATCTCTCCCCTGCTATTCCCCCCTCCGTCACTGTAACAACACACGTAACGTAATCAATCCTCGCCATTATCCGAGCGACCGCGGTCTTCCGTAGATTTCACGAAATCCCTCTCGAAAAAGTAAGCTCGCCGGGGATTTTTTTTTTTTTTTTTATCGCTCTTTTCTTTCGCGGCAATCGCGGTCTTGGACGATTAATTTCGACGAAACATCCGAGTTATCGACCAAGGAACTGCTTTTTATCGCGTGAGTTATTTCGTTATTCGCGCGATACCACATTCTCGAAACGATATTTTCAACGCAATTACATCCAATCATCGCCACCTAGTAGGCGTCGTAGGTGAAAGAGTTGCAAATTCGATCGATCGATAATCGTGGGGAGGGAGGGTAGGAACGTGACTTTTTTCTTCTCCCCCTTCTCCCCCCTCGGGCTTAAAATTTCCCCTCCCCGCCGGTTGCGTAAAAACCGGTAGGCCGCGGTGACACGAAAATCCGCAAGCTTGGAAGCCCCGTGGTAATCGATTGCCCGTGTTTGTCCCCGCGATATTGTCCCCGTCGCGCCGTGGAAAACGTACGAGACAAGGTACAAGCTTGTATAAACCGGGGGGAGAAGGGGTGGGGACGTTTTCTGCGCTTCGCCACCGATGTCTCCCTGTTTCCGCGGCGCAATTTATGCGTGATATCAAACGTGGCGACGATGTACAGAAACCGAACGACCGTGAACACGATACGCAACGAATTTATGAAGATATTATTCGACGTGACCGCGATGGCAATAAATATTACCGGTACGGATAGGAATTTAACTCCGTTCGGAGCTAGAGCCTCGTCGATATTCGGCCTGTCGAACGGAATACGATCTTGATTTTCAAACCTCGTTGCTTCCTTCGAACAACAACCCGATTACCTGAGATATCTAAGATAAGTTTTTCCCCAAATTTTTCTCTTTCTTGCAAAAAGGAAAAAAAAAATTGTAAAATTGTAATGCAAATTTTTTTTAATTGTTATTATCGCAACGTTGTATCGAGCAATCTTCCTTTGGCAAGATTCGAAGTAAACTCGATGCGAATTAATATGTCATCGATTGAATAACCTAATAATCATAATTGGATAATTTAAACGGATAATATCCACGGATGAAAGTAATATCCGATGAATTTATTACGAAATTTCCTCCTAAAAATCTTCTCCAAATAAAAAATAAATAATCTAAACATTATCTCTCTCTCTCTGTCTCTCTCTCTCTTTAAAAAATGGCACGCGTCATCCCCCGCGAGATATCGATTTCGAACGAACGCGGTCGCGTCCCCCTTTCCTTTTTTTTTTTTCCAGTCGAAGGAGGAGAATTAAACTAACCAGGTTGTGTTGGCGTTGCAGGTACAAAGCGAATCGTTGCGTGAGCGGGGGCGGTGGCCGCGGGAACGGCGCGACTGGTACCGGAGGCGGTCTAGGTAACGGAGGCAGCGGCCGCGGGGGCGGCGGGGGCGGTAGCCCCGGCAGGGGCGGCGGCGGAGGCGGCGGAGGCGGCGTCGGAGGAGGAGGCGGAGGTAGGAACGGAGGAATAGACGGTGGTGCGATACCCGCTACACCACCGACGATCAGCCGTTACCACCACCGCTACCATCACCACCATCACCACCATCATCGTAATCACGAGCACGTCACCACGACCACCACGGCGGACGCCACCACCATCACTGGCGTCGCCTGGCACCTCAGGCACAAGCTACCCCTTGGAAAGCAGTGCCTCGAACACCGTCTTCAACACCGGCATCACCATCGGTCCCCCTATCGGGCCTTAAACATGGGCCAAAAGATTTCAGGTTAGAAGAGTATGCGCGCATGTGTATATACACACGTATATACACACTACATTTCCTCCCTCCCTAATGGATCGCGTCTGCCGTGATAGTGTACGAGGCCATTGGTACGTCGGCGCTCTCGGATATTTTAGGGCGAGAGGTTTTTAAGTTGGAGAGAGAGGTTTACTACGGGCTGACTACGGTGGGCCGAGGGAACGTGGACCGGTTTGAGAGATGTATCGGAGAATATGTAGGAGATCGTAGGACCAAGTGTGTAGGATGTTCGATTAGAAATAATAAATAATGGTAGAATTTCGGATGTTATTCGGAAGTTTTGAAATGAAAATGTGTTTTTTTTTTCTTTTTTTCCTTTTTTTGGAAAAATTAATTTTGCACGATTACTTTGGTTATATGTATAATATGCAAAATATTGGATCGGTTAGTTCTTAGGAAAAATATTATATCCTCGATAATAACGCGCTTGATGGACAAATTATGCAATGCGCAATTACGGTTTATGAATGATACATTGAAAACGAGAAAAATATGTAATAATTATTCTGATATAATGGATTCTTGTAATTTGCACGATTAGCAAAGCATATCCGTTTCCAATAACCACTTGGATTATCATATTCGAGTATTTAAAGAATTTTAACATTGTACAAACTGAATTTTTTTAAATTAGTCGTAAGAAGATAGAAGATAGAGTCGTAAGAAGGATAGAGGATGTATTTGTAAATTATCGTATAATGTTGGTTTAACGTATTCGTGGATTCTAACGCGGCCAAGTTACGCGATGCGATACGGGCTCGAGAGGTTGATTCACCTCGTGTTCGAGCTTCGTCCAGGGTCAAGGCCTCTGACCGCTCTCGATTTTACCTACCTGCTTTCAGGTAGATGCTCAGAACAGGTCCTTCAGACCTCGATTCTATCCTCCGATTAACCAGTTGTATAAAATATCAACTTGGAACGAGAGTTTTACGATACCGATTCGTTTCGTCAATTTTTTAACGACAAAAAGAAGAAAAAGAGGAAAAAGAAGAAAATTCCTCCAACTCGATTAAACTTATCTCGTTGAAAATTAACTTTCAAACGATAACTCGTTCCTCCTCGATTAAATATCTAAATATATCCCTTCTTTTCTCCCTTCCAACTTCCATCCGTTTAAGAGAGCTTACCAACAAAACCTCTATTATTAAACAACGAATCGAACAGCAACGGGGAACAATTACACTCGCTAATTAGCCAATTACATCCCTCGATTGCCATTAAAAAAAAGGAAAAAAAAAAATTATTCCATTGAAAAGGAAACCACCTTTTCAGAATCACGTCGTGAATCAATTCCCATCGATCGTAACTTCCCATCGTACGCGTCCCTCCCGTCATGATTTACACTACTGGCCATTCGCCCGTTTCATTCCGTGCCTCGATGCCGCGATCCTCCCCTCTCTCCCTCCCCACTCTGCCTCCCCCCTTGTCTTTTCGAGAAATTTGTCGCCCTCGACCGCAGCCAATTCGCAGCTCAGCTGCACCCGTGAAATTTACGAGGCAAGTGTGTTATACACGCAGAGCGAGGCCGACCCGTGGCGACACGAGGGTTGCCGGTTTCGAGAGGGGGAGAAAAAATATCCTGGCGGTAGCCAGGTCCAGGGTGTCTCGATGTCTGGAGGGATAACGGCGTGAAAAAAAAAAAAGAAGAAAAAGGAAAAAAAAAAAAAGAGAATAAAAAGAAGCCACGAACGCGAGAACGAACGCTCGAAGAAAGAAGAAGAGGAGGAGGGAAGTAAGAGTCGAAAGGTCGACTTGGAGCGGATACAGGTCCGTGAAACGGCCTTTCTATTAGTACCCCTCGGTTTTTCGGTTGTTGGAGGGAACGAGATAGTAGTAGACCCTTTGAAATCCTCGAGCTCCTTTCCAGAACCCTCGTTCCAGGACCCTCGAACGGCGCTCGCGCTAGGGGAACAGCTGCCAGAGCAAATAAACCGGCGTCCAAGGATATCGGTCTCTCGAGACCCGGCCGAATCAAGGGAGAACGAGATGGCGAACTTTCGAAAACCTTGAACGAAGGCCTGCTGCGCCCGCCGGACCAGAGACAAGGAGGGGAGGGGACCCTTCGTTATTTTTCTTCCACTCTCTTTTCTCTCTCTCTCTCTCTCTCTTTCCTCGACAAATCTACCCAGGTATATCTCTCCTCCTGGTGGATGAACTGCATCCGAGAGAATCCCACGGATCGCGATCTGAATTATTTATAACGACCGCCGATGGAAATTCCTGGCGGATGAAATTTCGTCCACGCTTTCATTTTCGCGCGATATATTCACGCGTTCAAGCGGCGAGCAGCGTGTCAGTTGTCCGTAAAGGTAGGCGTTCTAGGAAAAAGAACTCGAAAGTGAGAGATCTCCGAGTGGAGAGAAGAGGAAATGAAAAGGAAAGATAATATTTGGCTCGTGTGTCATTGTGTGTAGGATAGGGATGATAGGATAATAATCTTTTAAAACTCTCTCTCTTTCTCTCTTTCTCTCTGATTCGCGATAGAAATTCAAATTTTTTTTCTAGAAAAAGAATAGTAGAAGAATCCGAGAATAAAATGTTTGGAATGGGGATAGAAACGTTATTGGTTTAGGATAAGGAGAGAGGATAGTTGGTGATCGATGGATTTTTGTCTACAGGAGGGGTTAAAAGCGTGACACGCGAGGCTACAGCAGGAGCTGTCGGTGGAGTCGGCGTCGGCGGTGGCGGCGTCGTAGCTTACAAACCAGTGGTACCAAGAGAGCTGGCGCAACACTTCGCGAGGCCGCCACGGCTCGATGTCCTTCTCGACATGCCACCCGCTTCGCGGGAAACACAAATTCATCATAGCTGGAATGCTAATGATCGTAGCCTCAACATATTTGTCAAGGTACGTAATCTGCCTCTCTCTATCCTTAATTTTTGACAAATTAACGGGGGAAAAAAAAGAAATATCTGATGCAAACATTCCAAAGTTATTAATTATTAAAACGAAGCGCCATTAAAGCTTTGAGAAATTAATCAATTTTAACGGTCTCTTCGTTCGTTTCAGGACGACGACAAGTTAACATTTCACCGGCATCCAGTGGCTCAAAGCACAGATTGCATAAGAGGGAGGGTAGGGTACACGAAAGGAATGCACGTCTGGGAGCTGTTCTGGAGCACGAGGCAAAGAGGAACGCATGCCGTGGTTGGCGTTGCGACGGCAGAAGCACCCCTTCACAGTGTCGGCTATCAAAGTTTGGTGGGCAACAATGAGCAAAGCTGGGGGTGGGATCTCGGTAGGAACAAACTTCTCCACGATTCGAAGAACAATACCGGTATCACTTATCCGGCTCTTCTCAAATCCGATGAAACGTTCATTGTTCCTGACAAATTTCTAGGTAATTATTCTCCTCGTTATTAAAAATGTAATACTGTGTCTCGATGTTTTATACGTACTTATGAAAAATATTTTTATTCTTTTCCCAGTGGTCTTGGACATGGATGAAGGTACGTTAGCATTTGTCGTTGACGGCCAGTATCTTGGTGTCGCGTTTAAAGGCCTGAAAGGCAAGAAACTTCACCCCATTGTATCCGCTGTTTGGGGACACTGTGAAATCACGATGAAATATATCGGTGGACTTGATCGTAAGTAGTCTCTAGAAACTATGACTGTACGATATAATGAATATCAGAACTGTAGTAACGATATACGTATTTTGTTTTAGCCGAACCTTTGCCTTTGATGGATCTCTGTCGAAGAGTGATCCGGAAACGAATTGGCAAAGATAAGATAGAAGAGAAAGTGAACGCGTTGAGCCTGCCGTTAGCGGTGAAGACTTATCTCCTGTATCGTGACAGGAGGTAACTACCGAGTGCTAGCTCCGTAAATATTACAACCACGATTACGACTGTGAACACCACTGCGCTATTGAATCGTTGCCACCACGACGCACAGGGGAACGCCCGCTACCCCGTCGCATGCCACCGAGCAGACCAGCCCATAAGCCGCTTGTACGATCCATGGTGTTTCTATCCATGTCAGGATAAGTCAAGACGAGCACGATCTTCGTGGTCGCGTACGTTATCGTCATCGTCGTCGACTTCGTCGTCGTCGTCATCGTCGTCGTCGTCGTCGTCGTCGTCGTCTTCTTCGTCGTCGTCGTCGTCGTCGTCGTCGTCGTCATCGACGTCGTCGTCGTCGTCGTCATCGTCTTCATCATCCGTATCATCGCTGGCATGATTATTCGTCGTTGTATCCATATGTTCATCATTCTCGTTGTCATTGTCGTTGTTAACCTGATCGTTATCGTCGTTGTCGTTCCCGAATAAAATCAAGATGTGCACGCTAATGTGGAGGAAAGGAAAGAATTTTAAAAAAAGGCACGAACACACACGGGACACATACGCGAATCGTATCGGGACTAGCGAATTATTTAGGTGATATTGTTGTCTTGTGTTAACGTCTATATGCGATTAAAATCGTGACGAAGTCTTTATCAATTGTTAATAATGATAATTAATAGAAAAAATGGCGCACGATGCATTTCGATAAGCATTTCGTGCACATCGCTCGGCGCTGTTATCTTCTTTTTATCTTTTTTTTTTCTTTTATTTCGTTTCTTTTTTTTTTCTTTTTTTTTTTTTTTTTTTTTTTTTTTTTTTTTTTTTTTTTTTTTTTAGTAATTTTTTTTAGTTATCGCGTTATTAAAACGTTCTGTGACGAAGAAGATACAAGCTAAGAAATAGAGGACCAGATTATATGGACGAGAATACACACACGTGGCTCGGATAGAGAAGAAAGATCGCAAGAAGGAAAACAGCTCTTCATATAGTTGGCCAGTAAAACGTTACACTTAGTCGAGTTTGAAGGCTGATAACGGATAACGTTTCGATTATTAATCAACAATGGGTAGCGGGCTTGTTCTAGTCCTGCCACATTGCGCGAATAAGAAACGAGAAGACAACGGAGTAGAAATAAATTTCTTCACGATTTAAATGAAGAGGAAAAATCGACGAAACTTCGAAAAGAAGATTTGTTAACCGCACGACGCGGAAACAATTATTGTTCATACGAACTGTCAAAAAAAAAAAAAAAAGAAAAATGTGTGTACAGTGAAAAAAGCCAGCCGATCGAACAGCCACCTTCCAATAGACTCATTTTTCAAGTATTTTCTAAGCATGCTAGGTCTAATGAAATATAGTGGTATGTATGATTCGTGGATGGACACGAAAGGGAACGAAAGAGAACTTTAAGATATACATATATAAATATATATAAATATATATAAATATATATATATATATATATATATATGTATATATATATATATGATTTAATAAGTAACACGCCTCCGATTTTTCGTATTTTGTTTTATTTTGTGTATCGTTTAGTTAGAAAAAGCCCCGAAAAAAGCATACGTATCGCAGCTAGAAATTATTTCTAAATGATATATTTTAGCGGAACATTAAGAAAGAAGAATTATTATGAACCACGAAATTTAAGGCGTACACGATTATCGTATTTGAATAAAACTCGAGAAAAACAGGAGAGAGAGACAAAAATATAATTACCTCGATTAAGTTGATTGAAGATAATAAAAAGAAGAAGAAAAAAAAAAACAAGAAGAAAACAATGAAGATTAGTTGTACGTAGTTAAACATTTAGAGCGAGCGAACGAACACGGGCATATTATGGCTGATTAGATTCCAAACACGAATTAAAACTGTCTCGAGGAGAGAAAAAGAGCTACCTGAGACATCGGTGTGCGAGAGTGTTAATGAGTGTATTATAACGCTGAAAAAAAAAAAAATCATCGAGAAATATGGTCACGATGATGATGATGATGATGATAGTGATGAATGGGATAATGATGATAGATAAAACAATTATATCGGGCGTGTTGCTACCTATACTATTAGCATGACAAATTATGACTGGTCCCTAGTAACTCTTTAATCTTACGTTTGTCGCTTAAGTTTAATGATAATGTGCCGTTTATCGGCGATGTCGATTTGTACATAGGGTATAATTATAATAATATCTATCGGTACGACAATGAATGTATTGTGGGTAGTCATTGTATCCAAGACCGTAAGGACGAACCGAATGCGAGAAAAAGAAAGAAGAAAAAGTATATAGAATTCTATCGCATGCAAATAACACAGAGGCAAAATTGTCAATGAAAACAGCTCTCCATTTTTATTTTCCATTTAGTCACTTCCATTTAATCTCTTTCTTTGGTTCTTTTTTTTTTTTTTTTTTTTTTTTTCTAAACTTTCGAGAGACGAAAGTAAACGTTTTGCTTGATACCACGCATCGTTGTTCATTCTCTCTCTAAAAAAAAAAAAGCGAGTTTTCTTGCAGAGCTCGTCTTTTACAAAAAAAAACGTCTTCCAGTTTGTCTGGCCAGACATATGGTTACATCTTTTTGTGAAACGAAAAAGAAAACTGTCCTTTTCTTTTTTTTTCTTTTTTTTTTTTTTTTTTTTTATATATATATATACACAAGTTTTATATCGTAGCCACGTTTCTTACCAATTAATTTCATCTATTTCCATCGATTTAAAAGCCGTTCTCAAAGACACGCACGATCTCGCAATCGGCAGCCATTCGTGATGCGGTCATCAATACGCACACCCAAACTCGCTGTTAGAGCAATGTTCACCTTCGCTATCTTTGCTCGATTCTCCTCTCGGCCGAGGCCTCGAAACTTTCGGCCGAGAAGGGAGAACGCGAGAAGAGAAAAGGAACAAATTAAAGATTCGTGGCAAAGGAAAGAGAAGAAAGGAGGAAAGGATGGAGGAGGATCTAAACGGATGGAAATAAAAAGGAAAAGAGTGAGATTGTACGAAACGAGCGAAACGAAAAAGTTGTTCTCACGTGTTAGTTGATCGAGCGATAATGCGCGCTGCAACGTGCTTTCTTCGCGCATCAACGCTCGAATGTTCGAAACTTATAGCCATGTATATTTCGGGCAACGTGTGTGTCGCGTGTTGTATCGCGTAGCGGTGAAAAAAAGAAGGATTTACCGCGATCATAGTGACTCGACGTCTTCGTCGTGGTTATACGCCGTTCGTCGAAACTTTTGCCTCGTTTGTAAGAAAAAAAAGAAAGAAAGAAAGAAAGAAAGAAAGAAAGAAAGAAGAAAATAAAACTAAAATAATAATAATATAAAATAAAATAGAGAACGGTTCTCTCTCGAGCGCGACGCGGACGTCGCGTGTATTATCTTGTATGCGTGAAATCAAGTGGAAGTAAACGGAGCACATAAATAGCGAGTAAAAGAAAAAGAAATTGTATAAGGTATAAAAAAAAAAAAAAAAAAACACGTATATAGGAAAGATTTAAAAAATGCGAGTGTTGGACACTCGTTTCTGGACGCGCGTTTCGAAAAACGAGAGAAAGAAAGAGAATGAGAGAAATATCACCGACGTTAGTGCAGTGTGAAAGAGAAAGAGGAAAAAGGAAGTGAGATTCACACACATACACGCGCGCGCGCGTCGAGAAGACATTATCTTTTTTCCGCGAATCACACTCTCCTCCATCTTGCTACCGTCGTGTTGTACCTATATTATTTTCTATAAAAAAAAAAAAAAAAAACAAGCGATTGATTTTTTTTTTTTCTTTTTCGTTTTTTCTTCGTGCGCGTGTCACGTTCCAAGCATATGAGACAGAACAAGAAAAAGGTATAGCGTTTAGAATGTTGTATATATTATTAATTAATGATTAATATTAATATTATTATTATTGTATCGGCTCGATATAGTTTAATTGATTAATCAATTATATCGTGTTAGTCGGCATAATTGTGGATTCAGTTTTTGTACGGTAGGAGAAACGATCTAATTAAACGCGATCGATCGATCGACAGTGTTGGATTGAGAGAGAAAGATTGGGCACGTTCTCTTTGTGGCTCGTCGTTCTTTTTCTTTTTCTTTTTTTTTTTTTTTTTTTTTTTCTCTTTTTCTTACTTTTCTTTCGCATTCGAGCGACGACGCTTCCGGAACGCGCCCATGAAGACTTCCTATTATTTAAATCGCATTAACGATTGGACGAAAGATGATGGATTACTGCGAATAAAGCAAGTAAAAAGTAAAGAAACGTGTTTTTATACCGCCGCGTATTCGTTCCAACGCGTTTTGTCCTCTTTTTTTATATACATATATATACATATATATATATAGCGTATTTTACGTGTCTTCCAACTTTACGTTCATGATTTTGCTTTTTTTGTTTCCTTTTTTTTTTTTTTTTTTTTTTTT